TCTCTAAGTGTTAACATTATATTAACAATGGGTACCTATTTAAAACTAATACGGAGTGATCAGCTATTCGCGATTCGTCGACGCTATTTTAACGCAACTAGGTATTTTATTTTAATTGCTTTTTTTATTGACTAAGGTTACGTTTTAGAGTATAGAATAAAACTTTTTTATTTACAACATCATGAGATTATTAATAAGAACGCCTTTACTAACCAGATGTCACTTTACACCCAAACATTAACCAGATGTTACGTTAGACCCAAACATAGCCTATTTTAACCTACTCCCAAAAATAAAGGTTATCAATATGTATGTACACTGATTTCTAAGCTTGATCAATTCGTATATACATGCTGAAATTTTAGTGGTTGTTGTCCCGCAGCCAAATTATACTGTCTCGATAGTAGAGTCAATTTATTAAATTAAAAAAATATTACAATTAAAAAAGGGCAGATTTATAATAGTAATACCTCACAAGCTATTCGGGCGTCCAAACTAGTTTATGTCGTATCACTACGCTTGAGAGTTCATGTTATGAACATTTATTGGTGGCCCTTCACTGTGTAGGAAGCGCACGGTAGCACGTGCGATAAATATAATACTACATTACGTCCAGCGAATTTTTTTTCAGACTTTATTATAGTAATTCGGTATAAGCTAGCCTGCATACCCGACCTACTTGCGAGATATTTCTATTGGTTTGAGATCGCATTCGAGTTTTGTTTTTCTTGATTGTAAATCTGCCATTTTTACATCCTAATAATTTTATTTTAATAAATCTATTGTACTATTAAGGCAAAATCATTTTAATTCGGGAAAACAACCATTAAAATTTCATCGTGTCTATTGGATCAATCTGTGTGTATATCCGTTCAAATAAAAAAATCTAAATCGGTTTAGAAATTGTAGAATTCTGAGGTAAAAAACATTAAAAATACACCGAATTGATAACCTCCTCCCTTTTTGAAGTCGGTTAAAATTAAACATTACACAATGTGCTTATTGTATTCGAGCAAATTAGTTGTGTATAATAATATTATTAAATTTTATTACGTCTGCATTTTTTACCATTAATATATGTATAATAAAGTTATATTAGTACCATCATTATCGTGTTTATTTTATTCCATTTTATATTCTCATAAAATACATCGTCGTACGGAATACGTAATCTTTATTATATCGATTTTTTAAAATTGATCAAAAAATAGTGATTTGCACAATTTGATTGCAAAAGCCAGAAACTGGTATCACTGAATGGCGTCTATGTGTGCGTTTGACGAGCGTAGGCACATTCGACTCGCGCCCACTAACATAATAACCTTGCATCATTTTAACGCTCGTGTTTTGTACTGGACCATAGATAAATATATATGTAGCAAGCACTGTATGTAGCAAGTACTGGACTGCGCTTCTATGCGTAATAATTCTACGCATGTGGGGTATCGTTGGATAGGTCTTTCAAAAACATTGGGGGTGTTGAACACCATCTTTTCGATTCTGGGGTCCGTTTGTGAAATATTTAGCTTTGTGTGTGTGTGTGCTATTTTTCATTAGTCATGTGTCCCCCCCCCCTCTACTAACTTAACAGATCGACATGTGAAAAGTATACTCAATAGTAGTTTATATAATGCAGTTAAAAGGAAAACTATCACAGCTATGTACAATCAAGAAGTTAACGAGTAATAGTTGACCAACTTATAAAATACACTTGGATTAGTAAAAATTTCGTTACATTTTCATAGAAAAGACCTAAGACTAGTTGCATTAATAACTTTGTAATGTTATTGTAAGCTGTTAAAAATAAACATTTTATGAAGAAAACGGCTCATATGCATTACTACTATTAGTTTTGGCGAAGCGCTTAAAAAAATAGTTTATCATTTTCATTCCATAAAAAATAAACAATTGTGCGTTTTGAAAATATTGCTATTAAATTGTATAAGGCGCTTCGAATAAAGAGATAATCTATGTTAAAAGTAAATAGATTCAATATAATGTCGAACGAAAGTTCGGGGTTCGATTCCCCAGTCAAGCATTAATTTCATAAAAGTTTGTTTTTAGATTAATTTAGAGTCACGTGTTACATAATAATCAGTTATGCAATACGAATAAAAGCGTTCAAACCAAACTTATTTGAACCTGAAGACAATTTATAGCAGTGATAATTGAGAATTCATTTGAGATTCTATGGTGTGTAAAATCTTCAATACAATAACCTTGAGAGCAATTCATATTGCCTTATTTTTAAATAAAAATAGGTCAACCCGAAAAAAATCGCTGCCCCAAGCTCGTCATCCGTCATGTTTGCCTATCCGGAATATACTAGCACGTTCGCCGAGCGTGTGGATGCCGTGTTTGTGTTGGGTGAATGTGGTCGGTGTTTGTTCGTGTATGGTGTATGTGGCAAACACCAAGCGTGTGGAGGCCTAAGATGTTTTCAAAGTATAGATACGTCATACTCGCTCTAAAATGGCAATACGAAAGTCAGGTAATTGCCCGACTCGCATTCAGTCGGGCACGCTCTCGCGTCGCGGCTATACCTTCGCTACAGTGCGTAAATCTTCTAGTTATTCGTGGTAAAAATGCCTTCCTGTGTTTTTAGGTGGTGCACAAATTACACGGCAACTGTTAGAGACAAGAAAAACGTCTCATTAATATTTTGAATATAGATGTTTTGTTCATAATTGGTTTTATTATTTCAACACTAACCGCTAGTGTGTTCATTCCATATCGGTATGTCACGCGCTCGTGCCAATAAGCGCTCAGCAGCAATCAATACGCAACTAATGATGTATATTCATCTTTTTCTAACGATAGGTATGCCGTATCATTTGTCTCTTTTTGTTAGCGCAACGTGTCATAATAAATAACTGTACGTAGATATAGTACTACCTGCGCCACTTTAAAATACAATAATGTTATGTTAGTGTGTAACCTGTCTATCTTTTTAAATACGTCTTTTCATTTAGCAGCTGAAAAAAAATTTAATTATAACTAAACAAAACAAAATTAAACTGCCATTTACATTCACGGCTTCCCACATGATAGATGTAGAGTTTTAAAAATAGATTGAGTTGAATAATTGATATTTTCAAAAGTTATCATATTTACAAAGTCATACGGACTTGATAAATCCACACCATAAGCCACTAAAACCCTTTTTTATGAAAAATAGCAATTAATCGCTTTAAAAAAATATTAATAAGTTCAACAATCATTTATCTTTCTGACAATGTGCTTTTTATATCATTTATAGTCTTCTTGCGACAAAACATTGGAATCTTGATTTTTAGGCACTAGTAGAACATACCTATGCGCTTTGCGCTTACGGCATGCAAAATTTTCATAGGTAAAGTATTTATTTTTATCATCTCATCCTCATCATATCTCACAACTATAATCAGGGGAAACAACTAGTCTAAAATTATAAACAGATTGTAATGGACAATGGCAATATAATATATACCACCGAAAAATCACCCACATCGGCTTTTTTTTTTAATTAAAAAAAAAATGGCGATTCAAATTACCCAGGCACCACGTCGTTTTTTACTGTGTATGACAAGGGGCTCAGCGTTTGTTTAAAGGTTAAGCTAAGTAATCATCATTTGCTGGTTTTATGCACCACTTGTAGTGTTATCTAGAATAATTTCTGGTATTAGTAAAAAAAAAAGTCTTACTAAACTACATTTATCTTATTATTATTTTCATTATCAATATATACAATAATTGATCGTACCGTGTAGCGGCGGTGTAAGAATATCCACTACCCCATATCATCCTGTGGGTGTCGTAAGAGGTGACAGAGGAAAATAAATCAGGAGATTGGCAGCAGCTTTTTCCTAATAATGACTAAAAATAAAAAATAAAACTGTGGGAGCTTACGCCCTTTCCAAGCATGGCAACAATGGCAAATATTCCCGTTATGAGGAGATCTATGAGGGAGGTCTATGTTCAGCAGTGGACTTTAATATGCTGTAATAATAAAGGTGACAATAATCAATTATAATCAATAATGATTATCAATAGATTATTCATCTATTATACCTTTTATCAATTTCTAATCGTATTTTATTCACAACTAGCTGATACCTGCGACTTCGTCCTCGTTGCTTACAACATTGTTGCTTAAAAATCGTTGTTTCTTAAAACTTTAATAACTTTACATTAAATGAAGATATTGCAATGATTTTTTTAGATAAGGGCCAAGTGTCTAAGAAATAAAACTTAAAAAACCTGATTGAATTCTATCCAGTTTTCTGTGATGCGTGCATAACTGTAAACTTTTATCATTTTATTTAAATAGATTTGCAGATTGCAGCACACTGCAAAGTTTTTCAGAGATTTAGACAATTGTTTAACCCAGCGGATGGTTAATGACCATAGTAACTCAAGCCACCAGAGCAGATAAAGACATTTGAGATTTATAACACCATTGAAGCAATTGGAACATTATTTCTACAGATAGTTAACATGTGCTGAAATTTACCCAACATAAAAACACACTACTTTTGCATATCAAAATTCAACTTTTATTTAATAATACAGAAGCAACAACCTGCCAATGGTTAAATTCCTCCCAAAACCTCTGACACATCAAGATTTAAACTTGTATAGAGTTTGTTCCTATAGTAACCAATATAAACATATATTTTTTATACAATACGGATGATAAATAAGCACATAGTCCACCTGATGGTAAGTGGATGCTGTGGTCCATAGACATCTACATTTATCCTCGATTATAATCAAAATGCAGATGTGTAATACCCCTGAGGACTTAGTTGCAATGCACCATTTCCAGCAACTCAAACTCCACACTTGTTTATCACAACAGCAGGTGTTCAGGGCTTCTATCTTTTCTTTGTTTTGATCAGCTTTATTTTAATAAGTCCATGTTCTCTTCTAATTAATTTTTAATCTATTGATAAGAAGAGAACAAAATGAGAAAGTTGAATGAATTGTTATAATTTTCAGTAAAAAATTGATAAAGCAGTTTAATATCCTTCATCACTGGTTGTGATTGTATAGTCAGTATAAAAATCTTTTATTATCTTTGCTGTGATATCATGGTCTGCTTTCCCATATCCCTGTGAATATCCATAAATTTGAATTTGCTTCAAGTCAGAATCATGGGAAATTCTTCCTCCACCCAAAACTTCACAATCAAGGGGATGCAGTTTTTCTTGAACCTGAAATATATTTTTAATGTATAGCTATTGACAATTATTCTTATTTTATGCTTTCTAAAACAAAAATAACGAGATCTGTATAACCCCTTCAATATCATTGTAATTACTGTTACTAGCTCTATCAAAATGTTAATGAAGAAATGAATAGTATGACAATGACTTAATTAATTATAGTAGAAGAGCCATAATATATTCATCATCACTACAGCTCTTCACAAGAAAACTGCTGAAGATAGACCTCCCTTATGGAATGACATGAAAACAGACCTGAGCCTGATTCCACCATCATACATAGTGACAGAACTCTAAATTCTATCCTCATCATCTCAATGGCTGGTGGTCCACTGTGCTGTGCGATGTACGCGGGATTTTCTGCCGCGCACAACCAAACTGTGGTATATACTGTTATCACCGGGTTTTTCCAGACCGATACTACTTAGGGACCTTCATGAAAAGAGCATACTCATTCCTAAAAGGCCGGTAATGCACCATCGATTTCCCTGGTGTTGCAGATGTTCATCAGCTATAGTGATCACTTACCATCAGGTGAGCCGCATGCTTGTTTGCCTCGTGTTCCATTAAAAAAAAGCGCCCTGTATACAGCAACTTCCTACATGTTTTATCAGGTCTGCACCTCACCTTGTGGAGGCTTACGTTGGCTGGTTGGCAGACGTAATATATCCACCAAGCAATGTGAAGCAGCATTAAAGCTGCAAGACTTTGGATACTGAGATTGTAAATTAGCCTCCAGCCAGCCAAGAGTGATGATTAAAGCAAACCATACCTAATATGAGAGGCCACATCAGTCCACGACTAACTTTGTGTCACTGATGAAACAGCATTATAACAAAAGCATACAATAATCTTACGATTTTGCTTTTTATACAGAATCAACAACAGTAGCCTAATGGCAGGGTGCAGACCGTGAACTCAAAAGGTTGTGGATTCACATCTGCTATTTGACTACTGTCTTAAACCACCCCTAACACAAGCATTTTAACCTTACCAAGAGTGGTTAAAGAGAATATTAGTAATGTTAATTGTATTGCTAGATTTATTTTTTGTACATCAAAAAATCCAATTGATCATCCATCATACACCAGTTAATAAGTGCAGTTAATACAAATTATGCAGATAAATAACATGCACATTGATAATAAAGCAAATTATTATACTTTTTAATAGTAACTACCATCATTAGCAAAGCAGAGTATTAATTAAAGACAATAGATTACCTCATCGTATATATCTGAATGATAGTTGCAGCGTTTATAGCCTCTCACAATTATCACCGGTGGTTTCTCTTCTTTATTTTTATCGTAAACATTCATTAGGATGTATTTAAAAATACCCGAACTATCAATGTCAACTTTTGGTATAGTGTCCAAAGTCAAAGTCGACGACATATTCCTCGGATTTCTAATTGATTTATTCACTGCTGACATAAAAATATAAAACGAAATAAAGACTTTAAGCCGGTAAAGTTCTACGTGAGCTGGTTAATAGCAAATGTCATATTATTATCATACATGAAGGAATAATACCTAAAGAAGTCTTTAAATTGAGTAACAATCCGTAGTTGCTTCTGAATTTCAAGCAAAGCATAAGTCCATCAAACTATTCGGTAGAACTAGGTACCAACACATTCAAATAGAAATTTGAAAACAATCTAAATTAAAATATATTTATTATATTTTAATTTTTAATATAACCTCAAACAATTTTTTTTTCTTAATAACTAGCTTTACAGCTTTGGGTTCTAGCCTTTCTGAACCTGAAGTTACAATGTATAATTATCCTTCACAGTTGCCGTCAAAATCTCCCAAGAGATGCACAATGTGCAATCTCCTTGAATGTGACGCATCAACATATTGTGAAGCAGACTACTATAAAATTCTGAAAAATGAAGTGCTAGGTCAGTGACTAAAGGTTTATTATAACTTGATACTAAGACAAATGAAGACATGGCTTATGGCTCATGGCTCGGGGTGAACCGATTACGATGATTTTTTATTTGAAAGCTGGTGCTCCTCATCCCCATATAAATTTGATTAAGGTCTGACCAATAGTTTTTAAGTTATTCTTAATAATTTATATCGAAGTCGGTTGTACAAAATTTTTAATTTTCCATTATTTCTAAATTTGTTTTCTTATCTAGCTCTTTGGCAGGTTGGGATAACCAAAATTACAAAACTTATTACGTAGGATTGAAATAAAAAAAGTATATTTAGTATGTACCACATACTTATGTATATTTGATTTTAATCTTAGTCATAGTAAGTACTTGCATTTAACAACAAAACTAGCTATGTAGTAGTATTCACGAAACAATATTAGTCTAGTTTTAAGATATAAGTACATAAACTATTAATATTTTAACTATCACTGTCAAAATATTCTTAAATAAATTTATGTTTTACAAAATTAAAATATTTATTGTAAGTTAAGTGTTACATGGTGTTAATTTAAAATATGACGTATCTTACAACTGAACCACCCTTTTCGGGTATTACAATAATAGATATGTGATTTACATAACTATATTGATCATAAACCCTTTAAAATTATACAAGAAATTAAATTACATAACTTAGCTATTATAAAATTCTAGAAAGAATCACGCTCCCTTACTCTTTGCTGGCTCGCTTACTCTTTGCTGGATCACTTGATCAGTTCATGTACAGCAGCCCAAACTCGAGTTAGGCCGGCCACATACATACGGAATTCCGTTTCGAGATTTCGTTTCAGAATTCCGAACGGGTCGGCAACACACATACGGAATCCCGTTTTGCCCATAAAACTTCGAACGGAAAACTACCGTACGTGTGTGACGGGTCATATATTTTATATGAATTTGCTGCGTTCGGAATCTCGAATCAGAATTCCGTTTCGGAATCCCGAATCGGGATTCTGTGAACACATCGCACACACACGTTTTTTTCCGTTCGGAATATCAAGGATCAGTTAAGAGACGTTAGCCATTGAGTCTAGACATTCTGCCAGCGAATAATGACGACGATTTTCTAATTGCGATTCCATTGTTGCTGTATCATTCTTACTAGGTGCATCCCCTTATCACCCTAAGCTTGCAATATAGTCAATACTATGTAAAAAGAACTATTTATCCAGAGATATTTTTTAAATATTTATGTATGTAAATTATTTCGACGAATTATTAAATAAAATAAGATGAAAGGTTACGAAAAGCTATACACCTACAAGATTAAATGTAAAATCATACATAAATACACCTACTCGCTTCGGTCGTGCGACGAACACTGAGCGCATTCCGTACGGAATTTACGTATGTGTGTTGCGACTCGTACAAAATCTATGGAAGACGTGCGTTCGAAGCGGCTTTTTTCCGTTCGGGATCTCGAACGCACAGGCGGTAATACGGAATCTCGAATCAGAGAAATTCCGTACGGAAAAATAACGTACGTGTGTGGCGAGTCATAGATTTTATATGGACTTGCTGCGTTCGGAACCCGAATCTGAATATCGAAACGGAATTCCGTTTCGAGATTCCGTTTCGGAATCCCGATTCGGGATTCCGTGCATACATCACACAAACACGTTTTTTTTCCGTTCGGAATAACAAGGGTCAGTTGAGAGAAGTTAGCCATTGAGTCTAGACATTCTGCCAGCGAATAATGACGACGATTTCCTAATTGCAAATTCCATTGTTGCTGTATCATTCTTACTAGGTGCATCCCCTTATCACCCTAAGCTTGCAATATAGTCAATACCATGTAAAAAGATCTATCTATCCAGAGATATTTTTTAAATATTTATGTATGTAAATTCTATCGACGAATTATTAAATAAAATAAGATGAAAGGTTACGAAAAGCTATACACCTACAAGATTAAATGTAAAAACATACATAAATACACCTATTCGCTTCGGTCGTGCGACGAACACAGAGCGCATTCCGTACGGAATTTACGTATGTGTGTTGCGACTCGTACAAAATCTATGGAAGACGTGCGTTCGGAGCGGCTTTTTTCCGTTCGGGATCCCAAACGCACAGGCGGTCATACGGAATCTCGAATCGGAGAAATTCCGTACGGAAAAATAACGTACGTGTGTGGCGGGTCATAGATTTTATATGGACTTGCTGCGTTCGGAATCCCGAGTCGGAATATCGAACGCAGTAAGTCCATATAAAATCTATGATCCGCCACACACGTACGGTAGTTTTCCGTTCGATATTTTGCGGGCAAAACGGGATTCCGTTTGTGTGTGGCCGACCGTTCGGGATTCCGAAACGGAATCTCGAAACGGAATTCCGTATGTATGTGGCGGGGGCCGGTCACATACATACGGAATTCCGTTTCGAGATTCCGTTTCGATATTCCGATTCGGAATCCTGAACGCAGCTAGTCCATATAAAATCTATGACCCGCCACACACGTACGGTAGTTTTCCGTTCGATATTTTTCGGGCAAAACGGGATTCCGTTTGTGTGTGGCCCACCGTTCGAAATTCCGAAACGGAATCTCGAAACGGAGTTCCGTATGTATGTGGCGGGCCTAACTCTAGTTTGTGAACTCGAGTTAGTAACTCGAGTTGACCCATCACTAATTTATTTATCTATGGTTAAAATCTCAAAACCAACAAAATAATATATTTATTGGTTAAATATCTGAAATTTGATATTTTTGTAAAAGTTGCTGAATGTGTTGTAAGAAACAAAATGGAATCAAACCTTACAAGTAAGTATAAAGATATATAGAATGGAAATCGATACTGATACTACAAATAAGCGCAAATTAATAATTTGTGCTTAGCTGATTGATGGATGTTTGACGGATGTTTAGTACATTAGTAGTGCTTTGGAAATCTTGGTGTGTAATATTCCTAATATTATTATTGAAACTTATCGTTTTATCCTTTGATTCAATTTTCCTACTTTTTAGTGTTATCTATATTATTATTGTTATGTGATCTTTACTCGGATGTATATTGTTATTTTGAAAAGATTTGTCTATTTACTCTTAGGTAGGTATATTAGTTTATAACAATTATCATTTTAGCCCACCATAAGTCCGTGGACTCAGACTTCAGCAGTGGCTGAACAGGCCTTCCTCATAGATTGCTACAAAGCACAATTCCAAATCACTTGCTTTAACATATATTTGATATCTTCTTTATCAGCCTGTAGGACTTCACGGCTGGCTAAAATTTATTTATATTTTATCTATGTTATTTATTTCTTATTCATAATGATTTATTTGCATAATATGTAAGGGAAATCCATCCATTCATTTAATTTGTGTTGTATGATGGCATTATGGTAACTGCAAAAAAGATTTAATGGCTTTTATTGTAAAGTCGTAGAGGTATTTTTTATGCCAAATGAAAAGCATCCTGACTCACAATGGGGAGCACCAGTAAGAGCAGATGTCTGGACCTGGTGCGGCCAATCACCTTACTAAGCATGGGGATTAAGGCAAATCCTCCCTACAGCTTAAGAGTCCAGTAAAAACGAGTCCAGTAGAAACCATCAAAACACTAACACAAAAGATGTTATACTATATCCTTTACCTTTAGTGAGCAATTCTAATTACATATAATATATTATATATATGGTATAATATATATGTAAATGTTTCCTTAGAAATGAATCCAATGATTTAGATGAAATTTTGTATGATAATGTTTTACTTTTCAAGTTTATCTTCATAGATGTTCCCTGTGAAAATGATTGTGTTTTCTAATGCTAAGTAAAGCTCTTGCTGTCCATGTTCTATTATTAATATGACAAATATATGTTATTGCTAGCTGTTACCACTGTGTCTTCTTTTGCATAGAATATTTTTCTTCAATTATTTTATAACCTAATAAGTTGGCAATTTTCTCGGTTTGGCCTAATTTTAATTTTATAAACAATATCACTGTTCTAATTTTGAAAGTAATAGTAGACTGTCTATACTTATATATGGTGTAATTCTATCATGATGCATGGATGACTTAAACACTGAGGTTCCATTTAATAATATAATTTAAAAAACAACTTGTAACATACACACTATGATATAATTTTATATTCATTAATTATATTTTCATTTTTTGACTATAATGTTTTTGTGGTACTAATGTACTTATAATTTAAATTGAACTTTCGGATAGGACAAGGTTTTTTACATATTGTATAATAGGCTGTAACTTCACTTTTTTTTAGTAACATAGATATATGTAAAGAAAATACAAAAACTAAGGAAGGCAGGGTGACAAAAACTCAAATTTATAATAAAATAGTGTTTGTTAAAACTCAAACATAATTTTTTTTATCATGTAGTAGTGGTACACTTAATTACCCCGTTACATCCCATTGATGTTGTAAGATGTGATACACACTAACTAGTTAGTTAACATGTACCTACAAAATATTATACAAACAGTTTTCCAAGAATTATGTTTGATTAAATAAAAAAAATTGGGAAGAACTGGCAATCCCGGTTCCAAACCTCTTTAAAAGGTGGGTTTAAAATAAGGAACACAAGTCATCATAACCACAGCCCCTAAAAATTAAATATAATATTTTTAAAGTGTATATTACCCCGTTTAGTCTCTGAGCCCCCTCCACCCAAACTTTAATTTTAGATCCACGCCCACATGCCCTGATGTTTATTGTTATTGCTAAAAAGAACAAACATCAAATACTTTTACACCATATCATCCCATGGATGCGGTAAGGGCTGACAGAGGAAAATGAAACACAAGATGGAAATCAGCATCTTCCTGATAATAACTGAAAATTATAAGGTAATCTGTGGGAGAGGCTTATGTTCAGACTGTAATAAACTAATGACTGAATGAACAAAACAAGAGCCATGGTAGATGGTAGCTCAGTAGGTAAGTAGCCGTATAGTATGCAAGTAACACAAGTTTGATACTTGTTACCACATGTTCAATTATGAAGGACAACATGAGAACCTAGACTAAGATTGTGCTCTTCAATAGGGGATAAGGCAGCGCGATGGACTCTTCACTGCTTCAAAAAACCTTAGAAATATGAATATACATGTGCTTAGAAAAAGTCCCGCTGAGTTTCTTGCTGGTTCTTCTCAGGACAGAGGTATTTTCTGAACCATATGTAACTATATATGTAACCAGTGGTAAATAAAAAAATGACTCAATAAGTATTATGCAATAATCTATATTGAATAAAAATTGTTTTATTCTATTCTATTCTTAGCAATGGGACATAATAGGCTATACTTTTCTTTTAAATTGAATGAGAATGTTTCTGCACATTTAACAGATAGGCGCTTGTTTTAACTCTATCTTTAACATCTATATTTAATAGACTTGCAACAAATATTCAGCTATCATTTGGTATTTGACCTATTCAGCTACTTTTATCCTATTTGGTCGAATACCGAATACTTAAGTAAGAGATTTTATTGTGGTCAGATAATTGGTAAAATGAAAATATTTATTTTATAATGAGGTTTTTTTTTCTTGTAATCATTAAAGAAGTCATAGGTCACTTCCATATATTATTATAAAAATTAAATAATGACTATCAGATACATATTTATGCACTCCAATTATCGTAATTATAGTGGAAGATAATGGTGCATAAAGATTAATTTTTATTCATTTTCAGGCAGTAGTTTTCTCCGTAATAGACTTTTGCCTAATATTCGGATATGCGGCCAGGAAGCCCGCAGAATATTCGATATTCGCAGTGTGGCCGAATATACCTACTATTCGTTGCGTCTAATTTTAAGCAATTAAAAATAAATTTATTTTATTAATGTAATGAGTTATTCCGCTCATGAGTACTTAATATAAAAATCAGTAGCAAATATGTAGACATATTATGAAAATAAAGTATTTTGTGGCATTCCTTGTGGGAGGTTCAGCAGTTGGCTTGTGAAAGGCTGTAATGATGATGATGATTTTAATGCAGTATATACAGACTTACGGAAGGCCTTCGATAAGGTGGACCACGAAATGTTACTAAATAGAATACTTTACAATGGCATTCGGGGTTGTTACGATGGTTTGTTTCTTATATCACTAATCGTTGTCAAAGGGTTGTAATCAGTAGATACCACTCTAACGTTACGATGGTGTACCTCAAGGATCTATTCTCGATCCTCTGTTATTTGTAATGTTTATCAATGACATAAGTAACCGTTTTCTCAATTCTAAATTTCTATTATATGCAGATGATCTTAAAGTTTATAAATCTATCCATACTACACAAGACTGCATTCTTCTCCAAGGGGACCTAGATAGACTGACAGACTATTGTTACAAAAGTTAACTTCAGTTAAGTATTCCGAAGTGTAAATATCTCAGTATTACTAAAAACAAGAATATTATTAAATTTTCGTACTCACTCTGTAACGTTCCTTTGGCTAAAGTGGATTCTATGCGAGACCTCCGTATATTGTTTGATTCAAAATTGTGCTTAGACTTACATACGAGGGCTGCACTAAAAGTATCGGGAATGGAATATTTCCACTGTTCCTGTCATATTAATTTTTTTTAATTGAAAAGTCCTTGGTTTTAAAAATCGAATACCATTTATTTATTTAAAAAAAAGATTCTCGGTCTTGTCACAAGGTTTTGTCAAACTTGTTTAGTCGTTGAGAAAATGGAATTGACTCGAGAAAATTCAAGAGCGACGATTTATTATGACTTTCGAAGTGGTTTAACACAAAAACAGTGTGTTGACCGGATGATTTCTGCATTTGGTGATGAAGCCCCATCCAAAACCACAATTTATCGCTGGTTTGCTGAATTTCAACGTGGACTTGTCAAACTCAGTCATGATCCCCGTTAAGGTCGTCCAAAAACTGCACTCACCAAGAAAATGTTGATGCTGTGCGTAAGTTGATTGAGGAAGATCGACATGTGACATACCGCGAAATTCAGGCAACTTTAGACATTGGCATGAGTTAAATACAAATAATGTTGCATGAACAATTAGGTGTAAAAAAGTTGTTTTCCCGATGAATACCGCATTCGCTCTGTGAAGAGCAAAAAGCGGCTCGCGTTACTTGGTGCGTCAGAACTCTCGAAAGATTCCACGCAGGATCCTCAAATGCTGTATACAACATCGTATCAGGTGACAAATCCTGGATATACGCGTACGAACCCGAAACAAAAAACCAGTCACGAGTTTGGGTGTTCGAAAATGAGTTAAAGCCAACAAAAATTGTTCGTTCACGGAGTGTTGCGAAAAAAATGGTGGCCACGTTTGTCTCCAAAACCGGCCATGTTACGGCTATTCCTCTTGAGGGACAAAGAACGGTTAATGCAGAATGGTATGCTAGCATTTGTTTGCCACAGGTCGTTTCTGAACTCCGTAAAGAGAACTGCAACCGCCGCATCATCCTCCATCACGACAATGCGAGTTCTCACACCGCACACAGAACAAAAGAGTTTTTAGAGCAAGAAAACAGAATTATTAGACCATCCGCCGTACAGCCCCGACCTAAGCCTTAATGATTTCTATACTTTCCCTAAAATAAAGAATAAATTGCGTGGACAGAGATTTTCATCACCTTAAGAAGCTGTGGACGCCTACAAAACGGCCATTTTGGAGACCCCAACTTCCGAATGGAATGGTTGCTTCAATGATTGGTTCCATCGTATGGAAAAATGTGTCAAATTTCGCGGAGAATACTTCGAAAAGCAATAAATACATTTTTAAATAGTAATGTTGTGTCACTTCCTTGATTCCCGAAATTTT